AGCTTTAACTGAAACTACTGATATTTTATATATACGCATTTTACCTAATGATATTTATTACTTGGTAAACTATAATTATATGAAATGATGTATAAATATTACACCATGATAACTCATAAAAGCACTTGATGTAGATCTAATTATTATAAGATAACTTAGTATAAATGTTATCCCATGATAACTAACGGAGGGAAGTTGTCATGGTGACTGATTTATGACACCCATTGTCTGAAGAACATTTGATTGCAAAGGCTCATTACCCTGGAGCCATGACATCTATATGCCTTGAAACATTAAATTGCTGTTATTTATAAGATGCTAATCCTAATTGTTAATCCCCAGTTTTGTGTACATCGACCGTCTGCCATCCTGTACAGGATGTGCAAGAATGTCACTGATGATTTACTGTTAACATTTATATTTATTACTTACTAAATGTCAGGTGACCTTGGCTATATAAGCCTTGGTCCAGAGAAGGAGAGAGGAGAGGAGAAAAAAGAGGAGAGAGAAGAGGGGGAAAAAAAGGTCTTACCCTTAGCCTAGCTAGGGTTAGGCTGGGTGCTTCCGGGGCACCAAGACAACAACCACAACCACTATGTGCTGATTTGGCACAAAGTGTCTTTAGTATGTATATATCAACATGTATAAAGTAAAACTGTATATACCGCAAGCCATCGTCTCCAAGTTGTCACTTCCTACTGAGAACCATACGTCGCCTCTTGCATATACGAGTATGCAAAATCGTTCATTAATCAACGTCACAGACCGCCATGCGTTGTTAATTTGGTGGAGCTATCGGGTATGACAGACTTCTTAGTCTGTCCTTTCCTGTACCTCCTTGCAGCATGGCATATGGTTCACAATACTGTAGGAAGTGACAGTCTCTTATTAAAAGGATAAACTACCTTCCTGGGGGCCAATCACCAAGAACGAAGAAATGGCCTTTAACAAGATTGAAGAAAGAACAAAAACCTCTCCGATCAAGAACAAGTTCTCCGATCCCAAACCTTCCCTGCTCGCATATCTTAGCACCACTGCTAAGACTTCCCCTTCAAGATGTCGTTCCTGCACACTGTACAGGACCAAAGAAAAGAAGTATACACGCCTATCCCACAGAGATCCGACCACAGCCATCCATCATCATGCAGACCCTGCACAATACAGAAACCGCCTCACGGGCACCTACAAGATGGACACTGTGTACAAGATATCTCATGGGGACTTATTAACTTGTGTTTACTTACATGGACTCAATCAAGGATATATATTGTGTGACTGTTGAATATTGCAACCAGGTATGTTTAATCAAAGCCAGTATATTAATGCCAAAATGTGTCTTTCAAAAATTCAGTTTTATATATGTGCAATATACTCCTAATTACATCTTTAGTCAAGCTAGATCTTTGAAGTTATTGTGTAGGGAATCTTTGAAATGTCTCCAGGCCACGCCAGACATATAGATACAGCTAGGGCCCAGACAAACCTAAGCTGTAGGGTTATCGAGTCACACCTTAAAGCTCGACTCGTAATTTCAAAAATCTAAACGACAAAATTTGTCATTTGTTACAAGTAATTAATGTGCACAGTTTGGTACAAAATTGAATGTATTGTCTAGGACTTTGCATTCAGATTAGGGATATTAATGGGTGAGCCACCCCCACACATATGTTTATTGTATGTCAGTATTAAGTAATTAACAGCACAGCAGTATTCAGCATTTCAGAGTTTTGATGTCGGAATTAAGGATTTTATTTCTTGGGCATCGCACCCACAATATCTGGGCAAGCTCCGTCAAAGACACGGGAAGAGCACCCATTGTACTTAAAAGGGCAAACCTACCCACAAGTAACGTTTGAGTCACGCGGTAAAGCTGGACTCCTGGTTTCAAATTTCTTTATGCGAAATATTTGCTGAGATGTTTAATTTGTACTTTTTATGACATTACTCATTATCATTATTCGGTACTGAGTCGCACCGCCAAACTAGACTCCTGAATTCAAAGAACCTTCAGTGATATATTTATTGAATCTGTGCAAAGCAGTAATTACCTTGTAGTGAAATTGCACATTACAAAGATCACTCGGTTAGTTTTCAAACTGGCACTAATTCAAATTGGCTAGATGATCACTTTCATACCGTCATTGCATAGATATATTTGTTGCATAAGGATTTCATATAACTGATTTTGATCACATTTGCATGGTTGTTTTCCTTGGTGAAAAAGTTCACACATATCAATTTGGACTAATGTAAGCTTGGGGTCCAAGCTTCACGTGACGGAGGGAAGTTGTCATAGCGACTGATTTACGACATCCATTGTCTGAAGAACATTTGATTGCAAAGGCTCATTACCCTGGAGCCATGACATCTATATGCCTTGAAACACTTAATTGCTGTTATTTATTAGATGCTAATCCTATTTGTTAATCCCCATTTTTGTGTACATCGACCGTCTGCCATCCTGAACAGGATGTGCAAGTATGTCACTGATGATTTACTGTTTACATTTATATTTATTACTTACTAAATGTCAGGTGACCTTGGCTATATAAGCCTTGGTCCAGAGAGGAGAGAAAGAGAAGAGAAAAGAAAGAGAGAAGGGGTTTGACTCTCTTACCAAGCAGACCTCTCTCCCACAGCCCAGAGTGTGTACCGACTCTCTGTGGCAGCCTCAGTTATTTTCTAAGATATTGAAATTGTTAATTGTTCTTGTAAATAAAATTGTGATTAGTCTCCTGTGACTCTGGCTCTTTGCTGACTAATTCCCCAAGAAAACCAGCACGTCATTTGGAAGGTATTGTTCACCCAGAACAGTTCCATGATAATATCATGGGTATGTTTCTCGGCAGGATAAAGCCAACGGAAAAAAACGATATCCGTTCGGGTCATATGAGGATAGATGTGAGGTGAAATTGGGTTTAACGTCGCGTCCAAGATTATTGCACTTATATAGCGACGTGCGTGCACGTGTATTTGTGTGTGTGGCTGCTTGTACTAGTCCGGACTGATGCTGATTTATAGTGCTAGCTCACTGAGATACCATGCCGCAGTTTAACATGAATACCCCACTCAGACACAGTATACTGACTCTGAGCCGACCAGTCCTTGTTTTTGCCGAGCGCCAGACAGGGTAACAACAAGTACAGTCTTTTTGTATGACGCGGCCCGGGATCGAACCCTGGACCTTCCGCTCTCCGGGCGGACGCTCTACCACAAGACCACGGAGGCGGTCTATGAGGACAGAGATGCAAATATCAAAGGTCAAGTAGTGACTACTTTCACTGTTTATAAACAAACATGGCGTCACCAATGTCATTCGGCGATTGAGTCAGGATTAACCATCGGGAACCTGGATAAACTACTGGGATTATTGCTATCATTATCAAAAGAACAGTCTAATATACTGAAAATCAGTGTCTAACTGTGACGTAGCTAAGGCATTTTATAAATTTTGGCAACTTTGGATATATTAATTTCGAAACAATTTTTCGAGGGCTCTAGGCCTAGCCAAGCGGGATCAGTATCCATATCTGTGCTTGTAGTGAGTGAGTGAGTGAATTGGATTTAACGCCGCTTTTAACAGTATTACAGTTATATCACGGCGTGTCAGCTTTATGTGGGAGGAAAGCCCGAAGCGATGCAGGTCTCAGACGTTTACCACTTCGGTGAAACCCACGAGCACGGGTATGGTGCTGACAAACCTAGAAACATAATCGGGGCGAACTGGGATTCGAACCCACAATGATAGGTTTCAGGCGTGCCCAAGGGACGCAATTCTCCACAGCGAATCGCGGCGCCTTAGACGACTGGGCCACCCGTGCCCCCCTGTGCTTGTAGACCTCTGCGGCTTGAAACCTTTTCCACAAATTTAAATAGTTGGATTTGGCCGAAATATGTTTGAATTGTTAGCTTGTTTCGTTGTCTCTCTGTCTGTACATCTGACTGCACTTCTTTACGTTATGACAGGACAGGCCGACTGTCATCGTCTGAACGTGGCCGTGACGACTAGGGTTAGAGTAGCTTCCCTTTGACAAATAGCAGTTACTCTAGCGGACAGACCGATAGAATGCCGCGAAAGGCAAGTAAAAACTATTGTTATTTTGCGCATATGTTGCTTCGCCACTGTATATGAAACAGATTTCAGTTGGAACTATATTGGCTACTATCACCGTCCGACTGACACATCACTCGCCCGTAATACTCGTAACTCGTGACGTAATAAATATTAATGCGCGCATTCCAGGAAAACTTGCAATGTTTCGGTAATGTTTGTGAGAGAGGGAAAGCGATTGTCAAGCACAGAATTAAAGAATGACATTATATGATAAAGAGGTTATCATGCTTGTGTGTTTGGGGATGGTAAATATCCTGCATTAGGAATAAACATTGTATTTAGCGAGCCTTGTCGAGCACACACACTCACGTGATAACCTCTTTAGATATACATAGAATAGTTTTCCCAGAAGTTAAAAGCATGATGACAGATTAAGAAGATCCTTAAATGGAATTGACTTCGAGATTTATAGCAGTGAAACTCTTTTAAGCTCTGCCAACACCAACTGTTCAAACCATTTCCACTTTTATTCAATGAACATACCAAACAATGCACACTTTTGCAATCGGAATAGATACTGCATTATGAAAGCTGATGAGTGTGTCGAATGTCCTGATTAAATAGTTTATAGTTGTATCCGGAATTGAGCCTCCCAGTATAACATCTCCAGAAGAGATGAAAAAGAATACAAGCCATTTGAAATAAATCACTAAACTGAATGAAGCACACCTTGACGTAAGGTTGATATAAAATGTGATGAAACAGTAAAGAAATGGAAGTATTAAAAAGTGGCTCTTGAAATAGGTAAGTGATGGCGTATATGTTGTCTGCAATATTCCAACCATATCACGACGGCCATTAAAAAGTCGAGTCAAGCAATTCAGTGAGTGAAAGCAAATGAACAATCAACGCCCAGCTTAATTGAAAAGGTCGAGATATTCTAGTTTCACGGCTCTTCTGAGTTGGGAGTCAGGGTGAAGTATCTCGTGAGTATTCCTGCTGCCAGACTGTCATTATAGATGTTGACCATTGTCACCATGCGCATCCTAGAAGTGAAAGGTGATCCATTAAGCCTGTTTTCACACATGACACACAGCAACAGGTTTTAAGGGAACAGAACTCCTTGGTATTACTTATTCCACCATTAATCAGGTTCGGACATTATTGGTGGCCTGATGTGATGTGTCTGTAAGTCGCTTGAACAAGTGTTTCTGGATATATAAACAATCACAATTCATGCTAATTAATATTTACGTTGTCTCTGTATTTTGTAAATCATATTTGCAGGGGTGACCATGGACATACTTACATGAACCAATCCACAGTCAGCACCAAGTAGGCATCCTCTACAGGTAAACCCACAGCCGCCACAACAACTAACATGGTGATGAAGCCAGTTCCTGGGACCCCAGCAGCACCGATACTTGCCAGAGTTGCAGACAGGCTGGCAAAACATGGTATTCAGGAAATATAATGTTGTAGGTTTTTTGGAGTGTTTGCTTTGACTTAAGTCACGCTACCAATAAGTTCAAGATAAAAACATTGTGGCTGTATTTGCCAATGTGTTGTTCATCTGGATTTTAAAATAGCTACTATGTATGGTGAGCAAATCCTAGTCTTATTGTTGCTGGAATGGAAATGTAAACGCCAAATAGACATAGAGATATTCAGGAGTAATGTGACATACATTTTTAAGGTATAAACTTGTATTTTTGTTCTGTCCTGTCATTTCCAATTGTAATTATCATCATTGATTTTCTTGAAACACTTTCGTTATTCCAAAACTCCTTAAAAAACACCTTGAAATGTCCTTCATCACTGCAAACACAAAGACGTCGATTTGGCTGTGGACGGAAAAGTGAAGTGAGATTGATTGAATGGTGAGGGCCCATGAAGTGTCCGGAAAAGCCTCATTTTAAACACGTGAATGGGGATTCTGTAAGAGATCATTGTCTCGTCATAGGTCATTACAGAGGAGCCGCGCATAACGAGTCTAACTTGAAGCGTAAAATAAATCCTCATCCCCGTTGTGTTTCATAATCTTAGAGGATATGACTTTCATCTGATCATGCAAGCTCTCTCAAAGACTGATGGCGGTCAAACTGATCGGTTGACTCGGCATTTGTTGCTGAGAAAAGGTGTATATCCTTACGAATATATGGATGATTGGTCTAAATTTGAAGAAACTAAATTACCACCCGTTGAATCATTATATAGTAATTTAACAGAATCTTATATAACCGATGGTGATTATAAACACTCTCTTAATATGTCGGATACATTAGGCTGTAAGAATTTAGGCGATTATCATGATTTGTACTTAAAAACTGATGTATTGTTACTCACAGATATATCTGAGATATTTAGAAAAAACTCGTTTAAAACAATATGGCTTAGATCCGGCATGGTACTATTCCAGTCCCAGACTCTCGTGGGATGCATTGTTGAAGAAGAACGATGTGGAACTAAAATTACTCACTGATTATAATATGCACTTGTTTGTAGAGAAAGGATTAAGAGTGGTATATCACTGGCAGCGACAAGGTATTCTAATGCCAATAATAAATGACTGGAAGGATATGATTTGAGTAAACCTACTACACACATATTATATCTCTACGCCAACAATTTGTACTGGTGGGCTATGAGTCAACCTTTACCCATGGGCGGCTTTGAATAGGTAAACAATATCAATGTGAATAATATTCCCAAAGATTTCGAGAAAGGGTACATACTAGAAGTTGACTTAGAATATCCAACAGAGTTACAAAAACACAATAACAGTTATCCGCTAGCTCCCGAAAGATTAATGGTCAAAGAGATTGGATGTCCGAATATCAACATAACTTGATGGGCAATATTAACTTAGCTTACGTACAAAAACCCGTACCAAATTTAAGACAAAGAAATTGGCCCACTATAGAAATATCCAGTTATATCTGTCATTAGGCATGAAACTAAAGAAAATACACAAATAATATAGAAAAGGCTCGCCTTCATTCATAACCAATCAACTAATGTTCTATCTCTTAAGAGACCAAATCAGATCAGTTGCATGATGTTGGCCTCCTTCGAGTTCACTGGTCTGGTATAAATATCTTACGCTTACTCCATCCGAAGCTTTTGTTCTTTGCCTCTCCTCGGTGCTGAAGATTCGGAAGTCACAGAGTTCTTAAGTTTGATCAAAGTCCTTGAATAGAGCCCTATATAAGGCTGAACACAGATTTTAGAAAGATAGGTACCAGCGATCAGTATTTGGTAACACTATGGAGAATCTGAGGCAGCGTGTTGATGTTAAATTGGTCAGATCTAATGAGGAAGAAAGTCTTAGGAAACTTACAGCCAGGCCAGCTTTTAGTAGCAGTAAGATATTTGACAAAGACTTAGCGGCATTATATATGAGGAAGAGTAATATCAAATTCAACAGACCAGTATACGTTGGTATGGGTATTCATGACTTATCCAAACTCTTAATGTATGACTTTAACTACAATGAACGTAAGAAGCAATACGGCGGTAGATGCGAGGTTTTATAAACAAAGCGAGGATGTGTATAAAGATATGGCAGAAAAAATAGATATATACAATCCAAGTGATTACCCAAAAGATAATCCATTGCAAAGGACAGTAATTTAAAGGTCTTCGGTAATATGAAGGATGAATGTGCTGGAACTCCTTTTGCCGAGCATGTTGGATTAAGATCTAAGAAGTATTCTATAAAAAAAAGTCTGATAAAGAGAAGATAAGAAAAGCTAAAGGAGTTAAGAAGTATGTGGTAAAAGTAGCATATCAAACACGAACAGTATAAAGAGGCATTATTCGACGGTAGAACAGAGGATGAATACTTTAAGAAGCGAAAAGCACAGGATATATGGGTTAAGAATAATCATTACCCCCCTTAGATACAATGAGATGGATTGATAAGGATGGTGTAACTATAGGTATCACTTAGGGAGGTAATACTGTATGGCTTGGAACAATGAGCAACTCTTCTCGTACAAATTCCCTGCCCGACCCATCTTTAACATAATATAGAAAAGGCTCGCCTTCTTTCATAACCAACCGACTAATGTTATATTATCTTAAGAGACCAAATCGGATTGGTTGCACAACGTTGGCCTCCTTCAAGTTCACCGGGCTGGTATAAATAGCTTAGGCTTACTCTATCGGGAAGGTTTTGTTCTTTGCTACCCCGCAGTGCTGATGATTCGTTTTAATGGCATCGGATGTTTTTTCCCCAATTAATACTGGTACTTCATTATTTAGCCTTGTTACAACAGCTGATAATCGTGTTACCCATTCAGTTGATCTTAATCGACCTGACTTCATTTCACTCCCATACTGATATCCAAACAAATGTTCTGATAATGTCCGGTTAAATCTTTCAACAATAGCTTGGCTACTTTTTCACTCCGCCCGATTGCAACATCATGCTTTGTTTATATACTTAACAACAAAAGTTCCTGTGACATTTAATAAGATTTAATGCAAAGTTATGTTTTTTACCAAATCTGAAACAATTTCGGTTTGCAACAGATAAAAGACTCCTGTAAGTGTTCCAATGGTTTAATTTGCCATACTGACTTCAGCAAATGCGTGATTTCATAAAAAAAACATGAACATGCCAAAATGTGAATTTACAAATCAATAGCATGTGTGTCCACCTCTGGTTGCAATGCAAGCAACACATCTTTGTCTCATGAAATCGACCAGGCATCGCACAAAGTCCTGTCCATATCTGCTGGAGCATGTTTCGAAGTTCCTGGAGTGTCTCTGGAACACGTGGTTGACGTCGAAGGTACCGTTCCATCTTATCCCACATGTGCTCGATTGGTGAGAGATCAGGGGAGCGAGCCGGCCAGGGGATGACATTCACGTTGTTTTGTTGAAGAGAATCCTGAACAAGTAGAGCAATATGAGGCCGGGCGTTGTCATGTTTAAAGGTAATGCCTGGGCCATGATGATGCAAAAACGGTAGAACAACAGGGCCGATGATCTCGTCACGGTGGCGCTGTCCATTGAGATTCCCCTCTACCACTGTCAAACGGGTCCTCTGTCTTGCTGTAATCCCACCCCATACCATAACACTGCCGCCCCCGCACCCATCTTCTTCCATGACTTAATGATTGACGTAACGTTCACATCAACGTCAGTACACTCGAATCCGTCCATCGGTGTGGCTGTGGTGAAAACGAGACTCGTCAGTGAATAGAACTTGTCCCCACTGCATGGCCGTCCAGTGTAGATGCTTTCTGCACCACTGTAGACGTGCTTGATGGTGGTTTCCTGTCAAAATGGGACGTCTGGCGGGTCTTCTGCCGACAATCCCTGCACATCTGAGGTGGCGACGTTCGGTTTGTGAAGATTTTCGTCGAAGGCCAGGGATGCTTTATGCAGTTACTGTTGCTGTCTTGAATCAATTTCTTAGGTGTGTTGGTCGAATGCAGTTTTCTTGTCGATTATTGGTTACGCATGGCCTGCCACTCCGAGGATGGTCTCTGACTGCATTCGTCTGTTGCCAACGTTGCCATAAACACCAAATGGTGTTTCTGTGGACGTTAAATTGCCTTGCAACATCACGTTTACTCGATCCTGCTTCAAGCATACCAATGGCTTGCAGACGCTCATTTTCGGACAGTCGTGTCATTTTGTAATGTTGAAAAATTGCGTAATTTTGTTGTTTTTCTGAGTGGTTGTTGTCAGCACGATGCTAAACAATGAATATGTAATCCCGTTAACGCACGTTTTTATACCCATTCTTGGGTAGTGAAATGCATGGGACTTGCATAAAAGTCAACTTTTGCATGGAATGCATGCTTTTCTGATTCCTACATGTCCTACAATATTGAAAACCAAACTATACTTGTTTGAAAAATACACTAAAATATTGGTGTCACAGGAACTTTTGTTGTTGAGTATAGTTTAGTTACTGATCCCATAAACTCGTGACCAGGATCTACTTGAAATAACTCGGGCCATTTTAGTGGTCCATGTTTATTTATGCGGCCCTGTGCATAAGCTACTTCGGTTGAATCTTATGATGCCAATGGTTCAGCCTCATTATACCGACTAGCTACATCTACTACGGTTATATTTGAAAACAATAAGAGGCCAGCCTGTTGAACTCCATTCGTTATAAAAATATCTAACCTTTTCCTTGGTATATAACGCAAATTGCTTGTTTCTTTAACCAATCCTTGGCAACATCTTTAGATACTTTAGCTGCTGTGGCTAGTTTTTGTATTGCTGCCATACCTTTTCAATATCCTTGCTAGCTATATGAAATTTTATCCATTATTAATTAATATTGATGTTTCTTTAATAGCTCCATTTAGATAAATATTTATATGAGTGTGTATCAATGGACAATTACAAGCAAACAAAAAATAACTTGAAAAAGCTCTAGAAGCATTTATGCTCCGGGATAAAATTATCAAATGGCGAGAATTACCACAAGGTGTATATTTTATCATGGATAACAAGCCATCCAAATATGCTTATCAGTTGTTTCTTTCCAATTGTGAAGACGAGAAAGGTCCCGTAGTAAAATCAACAAAGAACTAAATAAAAATGTTGAATGAAACTACATGTTTGTCCAAAATAATGGTATGCTTATGAGTAAAAATAATAATAGAGAATATTTTCATTACAATTTAGCTTCAGGTTTCCTCGATACATATGGATAGTCATCATATAATTCACATAAACTTAAGACCCCCATAGAAGCATTGATAGGGTCCGGGAATGGTTCAGGTGGTGGTGAGCCAGGATCGCCATCATGTATACGACTGCTTCAAATAAAATTGTGTCGCCCAGTGTAGATGATCTGATCAGTAGTCGAGATCTATTGTGTAACGAAACGGGTATTACTTCGCGAAGTGCATCAAATCACGTGAGAACCTTTATTAAAAACATGAAAAGATTTGGAAAATATCTCACATGCTTTGCAAAGTTTGCAATCGGCCGAAATATGCACGGCAGTTTACGAAAAGGATGTTGATTTTGCTACGCGATTTTGATTGGACTATGCATGGTCGACAACATTATGATATTACTGTGATCACTTTTAAGGTAAGTGTCCTGTTGATACGAGAAAGGGGAACCCCGGGTCAATGTTGCAAGCAACATCAGAAACTAATGAGTGAGTTTACTTCGATTGCAAAAATATCACGGCGGGAGACTCCAGCAATAGGCTTCACATAATGTACCCAAGTGTGGAATCAATATGGGCCTTTGGGGTGACGAGCGAACGCTTTAACCGCTAGGCTGCACCACTGCCGTTATCAGAAACTGTATCCTTTTTTTCTGGCAATATTTATAAATTGGTCATCTTCTGAAAAAATAAGTTGTTAGTGTCGGCAAATAATTTATAGTTGCAGTTTGATGTTAGTTTGCGTATCTCTTGGTAATATTTCACTGTGAAATTTTCTATATGTTAGCCGTTCCTGAGCCTTGCCCTTTCCTAACAAGTTTGAGTTATCACCATTATCATTGCGTTGTGTAAAGAGAAAGGCAGGCAACAGTTTCCATCAGGTGCGACATATTAGATCAAGAACGTGCTATAAACAATCCGCGCACGCATGAAAAAGCAAAATTGAATAAGGAATTAATCAATCCGGATGCGTGGGATTAGGCACTTCCGCTATGAGCCCAGCCTGTAATCATAAAGGCGAGAGCTGTCCAATGAAAGCTAAGAAATAGAAACACTGGCAGACGCAAGGTCATTCAAGAAAAGGGTGGGGCATTCTCTTGCAGTAAATTCCGATGTCAAATAACGGCGTACTTAGGACGGAAGACCGATAGTACGAATGTGTCCAGGAGACGTTGTATATTCGTCCATATACGTAAAAACGTTTTTGCGTTTGCAGTGTAATATTAACTATAACCTGATATTGAATATCGATCAAAAGATCTCGAGCAAAGTGATCAAACATACACGTTGTTGTTAACAGACCCGTGAAGATCCGGGGTAGAATAGGTGTTCAGCAACCCATGCTTGCCGTAAAAGGCGACTATGTTTGTCGTAAGAAGTGACTAAAGGGATCGGGTGGTCAGACTCGCTGACTTGGTTGCTGCATGTCATCGATCCCAATAATGTCGATCGATGCCCATGATATTAAGGACTGGATTGTCTGGTCCAGACTCGATTATTTACAAACCGCCGTCATATAGCTGGAATATTGCTGAGTGCGACGTTAAACAACAAACCAACCAACCAATGTTGTTAACATCACATTGTTATACCTGATTGCTACTAAATCTGCAAATGCGAGCATCCTCTGGTTCATCTGGGCCAGGAAGATAGGTGTGACAGCCTGAATAATTGCCAAACCATCCATATTAATTGTTGCTCCTATAGGCAACACGAACCGACAGATGGTCTTGTTGAATTTCAGCTTCTCTTCATAGCAGCGTAGAGTAACAGGCAGGGCCGCTGCGCTAAAACAGAATATGAACACACTTAACGACACTATCATGTGTCGGTGCCTTATATCTCATTGCATGTCAGATTATGACCTCAGTATTACATGGTTGTCACAAGAATAAAAGAAGATGTTAATTCTCATCATGAGGGTAGTAAGCCCAAATGATGCAGTTCATACATCTACCACTCCGAGAGTCTCGGTATTGTGTGTATGGCGGGTGCTTCCGGTAGGACATGACATACTTACCTTTTTGGCAAACGCCTGGTGTTATCACTGATTCCCAGTGGTCCTTACATATAGTTTTCACAGCTAATTTGGCCTGTGGGCATTGTAGAATCTCGAATTCCTTTGCATTTAAAATTGATATGGATCTGTGGACAAAACAGTGCGCCCTCGGGCTACTGTTAGACTGTGTAGAGGAATAAAAACTGAGGACATTCAGTTAATCCCGTCCAAGTCCTAGACATGCAATCATGCTCTTGGCACAAACCATATAACATCAAATGTCAAGATAATAAAGTGAACAGTTTTTTCGAAGCCATGACTGGCACCACAATGATAGGATGGATACGTTATCAAAACACCACAGTTTCAATATCAGCGACAACAGTTTAAATCCAATCCTAATCAAAGTGGGCGAGGCATAATGTTAATGATAAGAATTCCCACTACCCTACAGAAAACGAACCTGGAACTTGTACCCAGTCCAGTCAGAAGAGACTCCATCATGCCCAGGGACACACGGAAAGGATTTCTCCTGGTCAGTGTGAAGTAGATTGTTGGCAGCACGATCAGTGCATGGATGGCTAAACCAAGGAGACCAGTGACCATGTACATCGTCAGTGACCTAGCTGCTGCTTCTAAGTCCGGTACTTCAAGAATTTTGTTCATAATGATAAAAAATATACCAATAGGATTGTACCTGAAAGACATAACAACATTCAGTTTGTAAGCCGAGTGAGACAACGTCTTTGGGCCACGTGGATGAGGCTACGTTCATTATTCATCCAAATGCACACATTACGCACACATCATTGGCAATATCAAACTATCCTCTTGTCTGATCTCTTCGTTTCACACTTTTAACATGCTTACAAAATCCAATGATGGCTTTTGAGTTCTTTAACTGTCTACTTTATTCTTGAATATCTGACTTGATATTTGGATTTAACGCAAAATCAATGTGAACACCAGCTTTTGATACATTCAGAGTGATTATAGTTACATTTTGTTAAACGCCGGTCAACTGTTATAATTACCATATAACCAGCTTTGTCATATTCATGGTTATTTCATTCAGAATGTTGAAGAAGTCCAGCATAGCACGTCCAGACTCGCCCATCCTATTTAGCATCACACCAAACACCGCAAAAAACATCAGGATCCCTATACAAATGTATAAACCAGACTTTCTGCAGCACAGTCATTGATCAGTAGCATACACTATCAACATATATGTCACAGCATCAGAATGCACTATATAATTTATACCTTAATATGTTGATGACATAATTACTAAAGTAAGCAGGTTCTGAAAGGCATCCAGCATGGGCATTATGACCTATCCATAAACTTGATGTATATTGTATACATGTTGTTTAAATTATTGTACATATTTCTGAATTTGTTTGCAAGTTTTAAGAAATAGTTGAATATGGTAAGCGTGAGTAAGTAACAAATTAACGTTACGTCGACAATATTTCAACCATATAACGACCAGACATTCATAAGATTTTCTTTATAATTCAAACAATCTATACAATCGTTAAACTATAGACCTACTTTATTACATGTATGATGCAACCTCGTGTGTATGTATCTTACCTTCAGTCCCTCACTTACCTAAGACATTCATGCCGTCTTGGTAGTTCACGGATTTCTGCCAGATAAACCCACCATATTTGAAGTTGTTTGAACTGTGATTAGTCTGTGATACCGATGTTTCACTAGTGTTCACAGGCTCAGCCATGTGTTTGGTAAATGTTGTTTTGGAGTGTTGGAATGAAGCTTGCATGATGTTTTCGGGGACGATATTTCTGATAAAGGAACATTCATTTGTTACATCTTACTTGCATAGTCCAACTTATGCCAGAGCAATAGGGAAACTTTACAAAATATTGGAGCCTAAGGGTATTATAATGGATGAATTGTTTGGGATTTTTTTAATAAAAGAGACATTATTATAAACATCAAAAGAAGGCTCACCGCAATAGGTCTAATATGGCATCCGTGGTTACTGGTAATGGCTTGTCAAAGACTCTGTCGGGACTTGGGTCAGCTTTGGTAACCTCCCCTGGTCGCATACTGACAGCCAGTCCGATTCCGAGGAGAGTGGCAATAATAGTGGTGCAGATGTAATACACCAACGTCATGATTCCTAACTTTCCACCCGACTTGTTTAGATTTGCCACACCTGTTAAACATTGGTTAGATATAAATGGTTCAGAGGACAGGTGATAGATGTTACATTTACAAATACTCATACTTTGCTACAGTACGTTTGGCAGTTTGCATATATTTATTTTCAAATTCTGATGTATGGGTACCATTCTTTTTAATAAGCCATGTTCAGCGTTGCCATTTAGAGTTTCCTACCCACTATGACAGGTGCCCGCCAGCCTGACAATATGTACATAGAAAGTTGTCAGATGGCCGACATGAGATCGTTTGCCAACAGGGGGTATTTACTATGTACGAATTTGGTGTCAAGGAAATATCAACCATGATCCCCTCCATGACTATACCGCAGTAGAAGATGTATTTAGAGAATCGTGGTTTAACTTTTACACGATTCATTCATTCTGAATTGGTCACATCATAGCGTTTCACCCTTATGCGTCCCTAACACTGTGACATATGAAAGATTGCCCTTTCCGCACACTTAATTCAGCATATATTTAACAACGGCCACATTATGACAGAAGAAGGCTTCTTGGTTTCAAGACCGTCTTTTGTTTCCTGAGATGCATATCAACCATGTGAATTGTGTTTATGCCTCTAATACCATTGGAGTTTTCAAGGTATTTTGTAAACTCAATGAGTTTGTAAACACCTGTCTAAAAAATCGAATAGTGATCTTGCACAAAGGCCTTTGATTCAAGTTGAAGGTAGAAATTTAACATTTTGTTGGTCCCCCTGGCCAACGCATACCATTTAAATCCCCCTGTCCTCTGAGCCTTATAACATCCACGTGAGTTTTATTTTGCCTTTGCCATACATAAATAATGTTAGACAGTATTGAAATATATCACTGCTTCAGAACATAAACAATTGCATACAATGAAACCATGTTTGCAAAATTTTAGATATATACATGTTGACATAATTTCAGATCGGATGGGAGCTTGTAGGCATATAGCTGTATCTCTGTTTGACCACTATGCCTGCCTCATGCATTGCCACTTTCGCGATATCCACGGAAATGGGTATAGAAGTGACAAACATAAAAACATTTTAAGGTCGAACCGGGATTCAAACCCATGATATTGGTTTTGGGTGATCATACTAGACATCTCCAAGGGATGCAGGTCTCCACAGCGAATTTAGGCGCCATTGTGCCACCAGTGACCACAGCAGTAAAAACTGGAAACGTCGACTTTGTCACACTAAGATGCACTAAATATGCTATTTGACAAGACAAGACTGATCTTTAAGATCTTCGTCTGAAACCCATGTTGTCACTGAGACATTTGTAATTGATATCCATTATATTTGTATCCATTAAATTCAGTATTTCACTGTAAAGTAAACATGTAATTGTTGTTATTTCCATTGAATATACTGAACCAAATTGAAAACTTTACAATCCTAAAAGTTAACATTTTGACCATTTATTATTGTGGGCCCTTATTGTGTATTTAAACAGTATTGTCTATAGATAACACCCGTTTTTGTGCAGGTGAATCGATCAAAATCATGTGCAAAGCACTAAAGTGGCAAAAGTCGTTTTTCACGTGCAACTGGTCACGTGGCCATAATACCGTAAGTGTTTTCAGCCATACTTGTTAGCAGTCATTAACAAAAAAAGAAAACAAAAGTCTTTACGGCCATTTGTGATGCCACGTCTTTCAAATGGGCTACGTGAACGTGCTATCGGCATGTTGCAGACGGGAACGTCCGTAGCTGAAGTCGCAAGGACGATGGGTTGTAGTCAAAGGACTGTTTATTATTTACAGACGCGTCTACAGCAAACGGGTACCACCGCTGATCGCCCTCGGCCAGGTCGACCACGTGTGACGTCACATGCAGAGGATCGTCAGATTGTCTTACGTCACCTCCGTAACCGATTTTTGACGGCTACATCAACCAGAAATGAACTGTTTAGGGGTAGACTGAGTGCGCAAACTGTTCGAAACCGTCTGAGAACTGCTCTCCTTCAAGCATAACGGCCATATTGCGGGCCGATTCTGACTCAATTACACAGACGTCAACGTCAATTGTGGACACAGCAACACTTACGATGGACTCAGAGGAATTGGTGATGAATACCGATTTAATCTTCGATTTGCTGATGGTGGGGCGAGGGCGGGGAGGCGCCGTCATGAACGTCACGCCCAGTGTTGTGTACAGGAAGTTGACAGATTTCGAATAGTTAAGTATCATGGTGTGGGGTGCTTTCTTTGGCAATGCACATTCCAGGCTTCTTGTCATCCGTGGAAACCTCAACGCTGCTGCTGAACCGCGACCAGGTACTGGCACCAGAACCTCTGCCTTTTATGGCAGCCCATGGACCCGGTTTGATCTTCCAACACGAAAGTGCCAGACCCAACACAGCAATTTTGACAAGGAATTTCCTTCAGAATTTCCACAGAATTTGCAAGATCTTGGCACCATTTTGCAGCAAGAATGGCGTCGTCTTCCTAGTCATGTGTTCACAAGCATCACAAGGTCCAAGCGGAGGCGTTGTGTTGCAGTTGTCAACGCACATGGTGGCCATACACGCTACTAAACTTGTGTGCCATCAGATACTCGTGCTTGGGACTTATGATTAAAACTGTTAATGTTATTGCCCAATACCGTAGGTTACCACCGTTAATTAAAATCCTTCTATGAACATTAATGATTAAAAATTACGTTCTCTGATACATTTGTCCGTTGTATATCATATATGGGATTACTTTTAAAAATGTGAAGTTTTTAATTTGACTCAGTATATTAGATGAATTCTGTATTGGCTTCACTGACCTGTGACCATACTGGTGGTGACGAGAGGCAGCAATAACATCTTGAACATGCGCATCAGCAGGTCCCCTGGGACACCGATAAGGCTGACAGTGTCTTGGGTGGGTTCTAGCCGACGAGTCAGCATTCCGAGAATCACTCCAAGGACCACTGATGTGATGGTGGTTATCAGGAGCAAGTTGGTTTTCAGACAACATCGGAGCTGAAAATACCGACACATGGTAAAAGTGGTGCTGCTCCATCCGATCCATGAAAGTTGTGGTCATCATCTTGTGTGGTTTCAGAGTTATATTTTGAGATGTTAGTTAGCACATAATATGTATCGCCAACTCAACCATTACAACGAATTTTCATCTGCTCAATGTAATACAACACATTTAGAAATAGTCAAACAGTTGACAGTGTGTTTTAACATAATTTGATTACCTTTCTTTTCCAGTTTATGTGTAAAGCCCATTTCTGGTGTCCCCTGCCATGATAAATGGCGGCGTAAAACCATACTCACTCTCTTCCAGTTTGATGAGTTGTTATCTGCTCTGAAGACTTGCATCGGAGTGGCATCGTCTGTGCTCGTCGCTGTGTACATTTCATAGAGTTTTCTTTGCCTATAAATAAAATGTGGATAAATCAGTTTTATTCAGGGAAAGCAGCGTTTTTCTCATAAGTGATAAGATGTTAGTGTTGAAACCTTTCGACTACTCATTCACGAATACTGTCATCAAATGGAAGGGAATATCCACGAATGAATTGGTAAGTGAGTGAATTTGGTTTGAGGCCACTCTGTATCCATGTGTGACAACAGGTCTGACAAGTATGTTCATGTTGGAAATAGGTGGATCATAACAATCAAGTATTTGGCCAAACAGAATTAATACCCAGAGAAAAACAGTGTGTCAAAGGTTTTGTCATGGTCACTGCGTGTCCATTTTAAAAGAAATATGACACAATCTTCTCAACTGATTATAAGTAGACTAAAATAATGGGTAAAAAACATTAATCAGACAAGGCAGGCTTCTGACCAACGGCACATTTGGGACATTATCCTTTTGTGTGACTTGGATCTGTTTATGGCTACGTCAACTTCCATTAGAGAAATGATTTGAGCTTGTTTCCGTATATGGGCATAGAAAGGGATAACGATGGAAAATTCATTAAAATTGA